CGGCCAGGCCGTTCCCGGCGCCACTGCTCTTTCTTTGAGTACAAGATTTCTTATAATGATGGCGAGCCAACAGAAGCTCCTTCTGCACCTGAAAGTCTCAAGGCGCATTAAGCCCCCATTCATTAAGACCCACGGTCTTCCAAACATGTTTATCAGCTGGGATCCATTTGTCCCCCAAGTGCTGGGGAGTACTCCTTTTGCAATTCATTTCCAATATTCTTTCTTCCCTGCTCTACTAAAACACCAAGATCTTACTCCAGAATTCCCTATTCTCTGGTGAAATTTGACCTGATAGCTGGTCTTTGATATGACCCAGTGTAAAGAGCACATTTTTTTATCTCTTTTCTTAGTGTTAGAAGCACATTCACATTAAGCAGTCAGCATTAATTGTTTTAAGAATTGTTATACTTGTGTGTGGCCTACTAAATAAAAATTTTCTGAGACCAGCAGTTGGCATAATGGCTATGTTGCTGGACTCCCATGTAGTCAACCACAGTTTGAGTCCCAGACATGGTGGCTTAAATTCAAACGGCGCATGTGTGTGCGTGCCCAAGATCCCAAGAGGAGAATGGAGGAGAAGGGATTGTGGTGTTGCCATCTCCCGCAGGGGGTGATTTCTTGCTTTCTATCTCTCTATTTCTCTCTGTCTTTATGGTGAGCCCATGCGCCCTATAGCAAAAACCTCCAGCTAGTGGGATGGTGGTTAAGGTGGCTGGACCTCACATGGCTGACTGTGCAGTTCAAGTCCCAAACCCAGCAACTTGAAAAACACGCTGGACACGTGTGCATGTGTGCACAAAATTCTGAAAGGAGAATGGAGAAGGGATTCTCTTTCTGTCTCTCTCTGGTAAGCACACACATACTATAAGAATTTTTTTTTTAATTCGCAACTTTTCTCATCATATCATAACAAATCAAATAATGATCCTCCCTACTCAATATTAATCTTAAAAATTATCCTTCCAGGTACAGATAATTATTTTACCGTTAATGTGATATTTTTTCCCCGTTAGAGTCTTTAAACGCACTGGAAGACCAAGATTTAGATGCTCTCATGGCAGATCTGGTTGCTGACATAAGTGAAGCTGAACAGAGGACAATCCAGGCGCAAAAAGAGTCTTCTCAGAACCAACAGCATTCAGTATCTCTGGAGGCATCAAATTCCAGGGCTACAGCCTCTCTTGGTTACGGAGCAAATGCCGCCGCAACCCGCATTAACCAGTACGAGGACGACTTACCACCTCCACCACCAGACCCTGTGTTAGACCTCCCACTACCCCCACCACCTCCAGAACCTCTCTCTCAGGCAAGTGCATAAGGCCAGAGATGGCAGGACATTGACCTCTGCCACCCTTCTGCTCTACTTCCTTTGACGACATCATCACATTCCTGAATGCATACACCCAAAGTCTGAGATACCACAACACAAGGGTACCAAGTATGTTCATTGCGAAGTCAGAGACCTCCATAAACGAGACACATAGGTCTGTGTAAGGAACACATCGGGCCATATTTAATCATTACTTGTCTGGTTAAAAACTATATCTGTATGCAGACAGTTCCTGATCATTGTCAACTTTTTGAGAAAATATTTTATTAACTTTAGACAAACTAGAGAACTGCTTTATCTATTTCTATATCCCTAGCCCTAACCCAGTACATAGAAAATAAAAGGTATTCCGTGTACATTTTCTGAATTGAATCAAAGTGAGTTGTGTTGAATTTGGTAGCCCCCAAGCTATAGCTAAGGATCACTTGTAATGCCACAGCAAAGGACAGGTGTTGTAAGGCAGATGAGTGATGAGGGCTTGGTATTAACAAGTTTCTTTTTTTTTTTTGGAGAGGTTTTTGCTATAGGTCACGTGCGCTCACCAGACAGACAGAGAGAGACAGAGAGACAGAAAGCGAAAAATCACCCCCCAGGAAGGATGACCACGCCACAATCCCTTCTCCTTCATTCTCCTCTCGGGATCTTGGGCACGCATGCACACGTGCCCAACTTGAGTTTTAAGCCACCGGGTCCAGGACTCAAACCGCGGTTGACTACATGGGAGTCCAGCGACATAGCCATTACACTAATTGCTGGTGCTGGTATTAACAAATTTCTAAGTATGGGACAATATAAACTGGGACATTCATATCATCATTATTTAGTACATTAACTCATAATATGTCTCTCATAGAAGTAATAAAAAAAAAAGTTTTAAGGATTTTTCTTAGAGTAATCCATTAAAAACTATTTGAGACTAAGAACCAATTTCTTGGGACTTCCACATTTGTCACAGTGTGGGATGGTGATCAGTATTCACAAATATAACCCTGGTGACCCTGAAAATTCCTAAATGTCTTTTGATTGAACAAACAGTAAATATAAATCAATGTTAAGTCTTACTCTATCATTCTCCTCACTCTATTATAAACTTATTATAAATAAATTATTTGAAAATTGGTGATAAATATAAAGTGAAGGCAGAAAATATATGGTCCATGAAGATTTCAAATGGGTCATGAATATCCTGAAAGTAAATACAAAATTAAATACAGATGTGAAAGTTTACATTTTAACATATTTTTTTAATGATGTTTTCTTATATAACACTTTTTTAAACAAACATTTATTTATATATTTGTTTATTTATTGTGATTTTTCAAGCCTTCAGGTCTGGTACTTGAACCCGCTTGGCCATGTGTGAATCCAGCACCTTAACCTCCACACCACCTGCTGGCCCCCATCGTATTCTTAAAAGGGCATATGATTCAAAAAAAATTTAAGGGGGCCAGTATACGGTGTAGTGATTATGTTGCTGAACTCGACTCCTGGACTGGTGGCTTGAAAACCATGACCGGCATGTGTGTGTATGTGTGTGTGTGTGCCTAAGATCCCAGGAGGAGAAGGGATTGCGGCATGACCATCCCATGGGGGATGATTTCTCACTTTCCCTCTCACCATCTCCCTCTCTCTCTCTCTCTCTCTCTCTTTTTCTCTCTCTCTCTCTCTCTCTGGAAAGCTCATGCACCTTATGGCAAAAATCTCTAAAAAAAAATTAAGAATCACTGACATAAGAAGATATATGTTTATATTCAAATAATTAGAATGTAACCAGAATAGCCAATTTTTTTATTATTATAGATAGAACAAAGCTTTAATAATCCAATTCTCATAATATTGACTTGCAAAAATCAAAGAACTTCAGGCTTATGAAGTACTGCACTTTGTTTTTTCCCCACTCGTGTGTTCATCAGTACTTCTTAGGTGAAGTAGCAGTTTAACATGAGTTTAAGTCTTGGGACCAGCAGTTAGCGTAATGGCTATGTTGCTGGACTCCCATGTAGTCAACCACAGTGCAAGTCCTGGACCCGATGGTTTAAACTCACGCCAGGCACGTGTGCGTGCATGCCCAAGATCCTGAGAGGAGAATGGAGGAGAAGGGATTACAGCGTGGCCATCCTCCCTGGGGGGTGATTTCTCGCTTTCTGTCTCTCTGTCTCTCTCTGTCTTTCTGATGAGTACACGCGCCCTATAGCAAAAAAAAAATGCCTCTCAAAAAAAAGAGTTTAAGTCTTAACTTTTAGAGAGCTTAGGACTGCTTCAAGAATCTTGGGGGCCAGCAGGTGGCATGGTGGTTAAGGTGCTGGCCCCCCCCTTTTTCCTGTTCCCTCCCCCTCCCTCTCTCGTAAAATTAAATAATAATAATGATAATAATAATAAATGTAATTAAAATAAATAAATAAATCCTTAAAATAAATAAATAAATAAATAAATAAAAGCAAAGTTTGGTTTAAAAAAAGAAAGAAAGAAAGCCATGCCAGGCACATGTGCGTGCATGCCCAAAATCCCAAGGGGAGATGGGAGGAGAAGGGATTGTGGCAACCCAAAGGGTGATTTCTCACTTTCCTTCTTTCTCTCTCTCTCTCTCTCTCTCCCTTGCAAGCCCACACACCCTAAAGCAGAAACTATATAGCAGTAATAATAATCTAATGAAAACTAGTGAGCCCCAGAAAATACATCCTGATCCAAAATTATGCATATAATAATTTCAGAGACTGCTCAAGCCCCCTTGAGATGGATCCATCTATAGATTTCTTAATTGGATCCCAGTTTTTGAACCAAGCAGAGATTTTTGTGATCTATAGATGTGAACTTCTGTTAAAATTATAATTTCATCTTTTAAGTTACTATTCTCAAGTTATAAAGGATGATTGCCTTCTATATCTTTGAGTTGAAGGTTTTGTTATAGTCATTTAAATTCTGAAAAGTGATGGGAACCAGCAGTTAGTGTAATGGTTATGTCGCTGGACTCCCACGGAGTCAACCGCGGTTCGCGTCCCAGACCTGGTGGCTTAAAACTCACGCTGGGCGAGTGTGCGTGCGTGCCCAAGGTCCCAAGAGGAGAATGGAGGAGAAGGGATTGTGGCATGACTATCCCCCCCTGGGGGGTGATTTCTCGCTTTCTGTCTCTATTTCTCTCTCTGTCTGTCTGGCGAGCGCACACACCCTATAGTGAAAACCTCTCCAAAAAAAAGAAAAAAGTGAGCATGTCAAATTTGGTACCTGTTTGTTAACATGGAATAGCTAAGACAGCCCAGCAAGGTGGCATAGTCAGTAGTGAACCAAATTCCAGTGCTGGAAGCCACATGGTCAGCCATGGTTCGGATCCCCAGCCTGGTCAACCTGAGACAGTCCAGGCACTTGTACCCAGGATCCTATCAACCTGGAAGTCTGGAGAAAGAAGATCATCATGATTAGACCCTGTTAAAGGTGCTTCTTTCTTTCATCATGTGTATACAGATACAATTGCTTTTTTAAAAAAGTAGCTAAGACACTAATGGTGGCACAAATATTCCAGGTACTACTTACTCCCCAGTTTTACATTCACGCACCATCTCCATGGGCTCTACATATGCAAATTCAACCTAATGCAGATCAAAAATGTTAGACTGTTGGGACCAGCAGTTAGCGTAATGGCTATGTCGCTGGACTCCCATGTAGTCGACCACGGTTCAAGTTCCGGACCCGGTGATTTAAACTCACACCGGGCACGTGTGTGTGCGTGCCCAAGATCCCGAGAGGAGAGTGGAGGAGAAGGGATTGCGGCGTGGCCATTCCCCCAGGGGGTGATTTCTCGCTTTCTGTCTCTCTGTCTCTCTCTGTCTGGAGATCGCACGTGCCCTATAGCAAAAACCTCTCCAAAAAACAAAAAAATGCTAGACTGTTACTCGCATGTACTGTGCAGTTAGACCTGTGGTGGTTGCATCTGTACTGAACATGTGTAGACTTTTTCTTGTCATTATTCCCTAACCAGGACAGTATGACAACTATTTATAGTCACATGGCATTAGGCATTATAAATAATCATAGAGGACTTACAGTATATGGGAGGCTATGTGTATAATTATATGCAAATACTATGTCATTTTATGTAAGGGACTTAAACATCCATGGAATTTTATATTTGAGTGGAGTCCTGAAATCAATGCCCTGTGGATGCCAGGGAATAACTGCGTTTAATGGACTGTGTTGAATATCTTGCCATTTTCCAGGAAGAAGAAGAAGCCCAAGCGAAGGCTGATAAAATTAAGCTGGCATTGGAAAAACTGAAGGAGGCCAAGGTGAAGAAGGTAAATTGAGAATCCCTTTGCATTAGGGCAGTTAAATTCGTAACATCGTATTAGAGTCGATGGTAAAAGATAGAAATTTGAGTAGTAATTTCCAAATGATCACTTTTAAAACTCTTTAAAGACAAAGATAAATCTATTCTTTCTGTAACATCCATTAGCTCGTTTGTGATTGATAAGAGAGGGACCTGTATTAGTGCAAACATGGGAGTGTCTTTGGCTTGTATTGAATCCGTGATTTCATGTTAGTTTTCGCGTGATTTTTCCTGGATGCTGGAATAATGAGAGTAGAATTACATCTTCAACGAGAAAGAAAAAGGTCTTTGGCTTGGCTGTTGCAGAAGCAGGGACTTTTTTTAGTTCTATTTTAAGAAATTTCAAAATAAGTTTGGGGCCGCCCTGTAGCACAGCAGTTAGTATAGGGATCCTGATCCTATAGGGCCAACTATGGTTTGAATCCTGGCCCCAGCAGCTTGAAAAACACACTGGGCATGTGTGTGTGCGTGTCCACAATCCAGATGGGATAGAGAAGTTAGGGGAACGGACTGTGGCATGACCATGCCATTTCAGTGCATTTCTTTCTCTTCTCTCCCCTTCTCTTTGTCTCTCTGTTCCCAGTGACCACACAATCTCTCTGACAATTATAAAAAAAACAAGTGTGGGGGTCAGCAGGTGGCGTGGTGGTTAAGGCACTGGACTCCCACATAGCAGGCCACAGTTTGAGTCCCAGGCCTAGCAGCTTGCTCTCTCACTTCCCCTCTCTCTTTCTCTCTTTGTCTCTGTTGGGCACATGTGCCTTATAACAAATTAAAATAATGATCATAACTTAATTTAATTAATCAAATTTAAAAAAAAATAAGTGTGTACATGCAGATCTCCCTTCCCTAGGGATTTTCATAGATGTGGCTTACAACAGGTGGCACCCCCTTCTGGGCCTGCCTTAACTGGGTCACAGTTCAACTTCCCTTGACTCATCTTCGCATTTCCACACTGGCTTCAGTTCATCTTTGAGATCCCCTGGGGCCTCTAGCCTCTGCCTGCCCTGGACATCCAGGTGTCTCCCAGGGTACCAAGTGTTGTTTTTGCTGATTCTCTGATTTCAAAATCACCTAGTTTTTTCGCTTGTTTAATTGACACATAACAATTGCACGTATTTATGGGGTCCAGTATGACTTCTCAGCACACAGATACAATATGTAATGAGGAAATCAGGGCACTCAGTACATCCATCACCTCCAACATTCGTCATGCTTTGTATTGGGAGCATTCCCAATTCTCTCTTTTAATTTTTTTGAAATATATAATAAATGGTTTACTATAGTCCTCCTACTGTGTTATAAAACACTAGAACTTACTTCTCTTATCTAACCATGTTGTAGCCATTAACCAACATCTTTTTATCCCCCTTCCCAACCTTCCAAGCCTCTAGTATTCACTATTCTACTCTCTCCTGAAAATTCATCAAAGTTACATAGGTTTTGTGTGATCTGCCCCTAAACTTACTTTCCCAATAAGGCTATAATTTTTTTTTGAGAGGTTTTTGCTATCAGGTGTGTATGCTCACTGGAGAAACAGAAACAGAGAGACAGAAAGCAAGAAATCACCTCCCGGGGGGGATGGCCATGCCACAATCCATTCTCCTCCGTTCTCCTCTCAAGATTCTGAGCACACATGCACTTGCACCCAGCATGAATTTCAAGCCCCCAGGTCCAAAATGTGAGCTATGGTCAACCATGTGGGAGTCCAGCACCTCAACCACTATGTCACCTGCTGGCCCAAGGCTGTAGTTTTAGCATGCATTTTTTGCAGAGCATAATTTTTTTCAGGAACTCATATATTGTATTATAACAAAAACATTTGTATTTAACTTCATTAGAAGCAGGTACCTAGAAACACACTGGGCATGTGTGTGTGCGTGTCCACAATCCAGATGGGATAGAGAAGTTAGGGGAACGGACTGTGGCATGACCATGCCATTTCAGTGCATTTCTTTCTCTTCTCTCCCCTTCTCTTTGTCTCTCTGTTCCCAGTGACCACACAATCTCTCTGACAATTATAAAAAAAACAAGTGTGGGGGTCAGCAGGTGGCGTGGTGGTTAAGGCACTGGACTCCCACATAGCAGGCCACAGTTTGAGTCCCAGGCCTAGCAGCTTGCTCTCTCACTTCCCCTCTCTCTTTCTCTCTTTGTCTCTGTTGGGCACATGTGCCTTATAACAAATTAAAATAATGATCATAACTTAATTTAATTAATCAAATTTAAAAAAAAATAAGTGTGTACATGCAGATCTCCCTTCCCTAGGGATTTTCATAGATGTGGCTTACAACAGGTGGCACCCCCTTCTGGGCCTGCCTTAACTGGGTCACAGTTCAACTTCCCTTGACTCATCTTCGCATTTCCACACTGGCTTCAGTTCATCTTTGAGATCCCCTGGGGCCTCTAGCCTCTGCCTGCCCTGGACATCCAGGTGTCTCCCAGGGTACCAAGTGTTGTTTTTGCTGATTCTCTGATTTCAAAATCACCTAGTTTTTTCGCTTGTTTAATTGACACATAACAATTGCACGTATTATGGGGTCCAGTATGACTTCTCAGCACACAGATACAATATGTAATGAGGAAATCAGGGCACTCAGTACATCCATCACCTCCAACATTCGTCATGCTTTGTATTGGGAGCATTCCCAATTCTCTCTTTTAATTTTTTTGAAATATATAATAAATGGTTTACTATAGTCCTCCTACTGTGTTATAAAACACTAGAACTTACTTCTCTTATCTAACCATGTTGTAGCCATTAACCAACATCTTTTTATCCCCCTTCCCAACCTTCCAAGCCTCTAGTATTCACTATTCTACTCTCTCCTGAAAATTCATCAAAGTTACATAGGTTTTGTGTGATCTGCCCCTAAACTTACTTTCCCAATAAGGCTATAATTTTTTTTTGAGAGGTTTTTGCTATCAGGTGTGTATGCTCACTGGAGAAACAGAAACAGAGAGACAGAAAGCAAGAAATCACCTCCCGGGGGGGATGGCCATGCCACAATCCATTCTCCTCCGTTCTCCTCTCAAGATTCTGAGCACACATGCACTTGCACCCAGCATGAATTTCAAGCCCCCAAGTCCAAAATGTGAACTATGGTCAACCATGTGGGAGTCCAGCACCTCAACCACTATGTCACCTGCTGGCCCAAGGCTGTAGTTTTAGCATGCATTTTTTGCAGAGCATAATTTTTTTCAGGAACTCATATATTGTATTATAACAAAAACATTTGTATTTAACTTCATTAGAAGCAGGTACCTAGTAATAGAGTACTAATAAAAGTTACTTTGGTAAATTAAGGGAATGATGAAACAGTCTTATTTCAGCTTATAGCATCTCTGAGATTCATTAAGAACTTCTTCCTTACAATTGAATGACTTGTCCTTTTCATACAGGACCTTATAGTACCTTCCCACAGTACCTGTCACTGTTCTTTGAGTGAAGATGCTCATTACTTGTTGATTGGTATTCAATAAGTATTCCTTGACTCTTCCTGGCCCCAGACTTTGAAGGTTCATCTAGGAGAATCTTTTCAGATCAGTCTGGTTCTATCCATTGCAAACATGCATGAACTTCTTTGCCATTTTTCTCCCTCATTCTCTGCATGTGACTATATTCCATGGTCAGTCATTGGAGAATCATATAAATTATTCCTTCTTGGTGACTTTATCCTCTCAAATAGGGTTAAATCCAAGCATCCCTCTACTCAGCCCTAGCCCTTCAGTGCTGCCTGAGTGTCCCTTGTCCAATCACTCTCCCACTAACCTAGAAAACCATTTATACTCAACTGGCCCAACAGCACAACAGTTAAGCACCGTGCATTAGGAGCTGTGTCCCACATGGCCAACTGCAGTTCAAATCCAGCCCCAGTATCTTAAAACACATGCTGAGCACATGTGTCTGCCCCAAATCCTGACAGGATGAAGAAATGGAGGAAAACAGTGATGGCAGTGTGACCACGCCCCACTAGGGGATGCTCTCTCCTCATCTCTTCCTCTATGGCAAACAGATGCCCTCTGGCAGTTGGGAAGGAAGGAAAGAAGGAAGGGAGGGAGGGAGATGGGAGGAAGGAAGAATGGAAGGGCTATTTATGCCTGTCCTCTCCTTGAAAACCTCCATAACCTCTCTCCTCTTTCAGCGAATGATTTTGCACCCATTTCATGGAGAAAATAGAAACCAAAAAATAAAAGTTTCACCAACTCCCACCAACACATTGTCCGACCTACCTACCTGCACCTGCACCCATGTTATTTCCAGGGACTGTAGGCACACAGTCAGGTTTTTGTCTAAGACCAGCCACGTCCCTTTGCTTCAGATCCCAGTCTCTCTCCTTGTCCTCCTCTGCTCAAAAGCTGCCCATCTCGCACAGTAAAGCCAAAGTCTACATAATGGCTTGCAGCCCCAGTGTGATCTGGCAGCTTCATCGCCCACCATCCTCTCCCACGTTCACTCCCGCCTAGCAACCAGTTTCTGTGACTGCTCTTCAGATCCTCCAGGCACTCACTTGTCTCAGGACCCGTGCACTTTGCAGGCCCCTTGCTCCCACCCCAGATGCTGAGTGGGTTTGCACTGCCCCTCCTTTATGTCTAGTTGCCTTCTCCGTGAGGCCTTCCTTACCTGATACTGTGCACGTGCAACCCAGTGTGCCCTATCCTCCTTCCCTCCTCTCTCTCTCTCTCTGGTGAGTGCACACTCCCTATAGAAAAACAATTTTTTTTTTTAATAAATGGAAAAAAATTAAAAAGAGCAGATGCCAGACACAGAGGTAAACAAGTCAGATCAGATCCTTGTTCAGGGAGAATTCCATTCTAGCTGGAGAGATAGATAAATGCTATAAAGAAAATGAAATGGGCTGGATGGTGGTGCAGTGATAAAACACTACCCTCTGAAGCTGACCCAACAGGGACAGTTGTTGGGTTGTGTCTGGAGGCCTCCCTGTATGGCAGGCATGCATGTGCCCGTGA